TGGCTCAGTAGGTTAAGCGTCTGCCTTCGACTCAGGTCATGATTCCAGGATCCTGGGATGGAGCCCCACATTGGGCTTTCTGCTCAGCAGGGCCTGCTTCTCCCTCTCCCTCTGCCTGTGCTCTGCCTACTTGTGCTCTCTCCCTCTCTGTCAAATAAGTAAATAAAATCTTAAAAAAAAAAAAGAATAGACAGAAGCAAGGGGGAGGGAGAAAGGGTCAAAACAGAGACCAGTGAAGTCATTATTGAAGTAATCCAGATGAGAGATGATGGTGTCTTGGACCAGATGAGTAGTGTTGGAACTAGTAAGAATGAGTCTGATTCTCATTATATTTTTGAAGATGAGGTTGATAGAATTGCTAGAAGGGGATGTGAGAGACAAAGGAAAGTCAAGAATGGCTCAGAGTCAAATGAAATTACCATTTACTAAGAAAGGAAGCCACAGGGAGGATCTGATTTGGGCAGGGGATGGGAGTAGAAAATCAAAAGTTTAGTCTTGTTTGTACGGTTTGAATTGCCTAGTACATAGATAATTTGAGATGTCAAGGAAATGGTTAATTATTTGAGCCTAGAATTCAAAGGGAATATAGTCAATGGTGTTATAATATGGTAGCTACACTTGCAGTGAACATAGCAAAATGTATACAGTTGTTGAATCACTAGGCTGTACACCTGAAACTAATGAAACATTGAGCATCAACTTCAATTTAAAAAAAAAAACACGTCTAGATGAAATAACCTAGATAACAAGTAGCAAGAAAAGTTTAAAGCCTGAGCCCTGGGGCATTCCTTTATTTAAAGGGTAAGATGAGGAAGATCCATCGAAATAGAAGGAGCAGGCAATGAAGTAAAAGGGTAGTGATGTCCCTGACACCAAGCAAAGATAGTATTTTATAAGTGAGGAAGAACTCTGAATTGTTGTTGAGAGGTCCAGTAAGATGAGAACAGAAAATTAACCATTAAACTTAGAAACATTCACAACTTTTTTATTGTAACAGTTTTATTGAGATATAACACATACCATACAAGTCACCCCTTTACAGTATAGAATTTAATGGTTTTTAGTATATTCAAAGAGTATTGCCACCATCACCACAATAAATTTTAGGACATTTTCATCACCTTGCCCGTGCTCATCCATTGTTGTAATATATATCAGTACTTCATTCTTTTCATGACTAAGTAATATTCCATTATGTGGATATACCAAATTTTGTTTATCCATTCGTCAGTGGATTGACATTCGGGTTGTTTTCACCATTTGGACACTATGAGTAATAATATGCTCCTATGAACATTTGTGTACCATTTTGTGTGTGTGTGTAAACATATGTTTCCATTTCTCTTGGCTATATATTTCTGGGTCAAAGATTAACTTTTTGAGGAACTACCTAATTGTTTTCCCCAGCAGCCATACAATTTTACATTCCCACCAGAGGTCTCAGAGGAGTTCCAATTTCTCCATACCCTAACATTTCTTATCTGATGTTTTTGTTATAGCCACCTTAGCAGGCATAAAGTGGTAGTTCACTCTGGTTTTGATTTGCATTTCTCTAATAACTAATCATGTTTGGCATCTTCCATGTGCTTATTGGCTATTTGTATATTGTCTTTGAACAAATATCTATTCAAATCCTTGCCCATTTTTTAATTGGGTTATCTTTCTATTATTAAGTTGTAAGGGTAATTTATATATTCCAGATACAAGTTCCTTATCAGATATGATTTGCCAAAATGTTCTCTCATTCTATAGATTGTCCTTTCACTTTCTCATAGTGTCCTTTGAAGCCCAAAAGATTTTAATTTTGTTGATGCCCAATTTTTTTCTCTGGTTGCTTATGCTTTTGGTGTTATGTCTAAAGATCCATTGCCAAATACAGGGTCATGATTTCTATGTTTCTTCTAAGAGTTTTATAGTTTGGGCTCTTACATTTAGTTATTCGCTCCATTTTGAGTTAATTTTTATAAATGATGTGAGGTAAGGGTCCAACTTCATTATTTTGCATGTGGCTTTCCAGTTGTCCCAGCACCATTTGTTGAAAAGACTATTCTTTCCACACTGAATGGTCTTGGTACACCTGTTGAAAATCAAATGACCGTGGAAACACGAAGGAAACATGGAAATTTTGGTATATGCAAAGAGCAGTTTTAATGAAATAATGGAAACACAGTCTAATAGGAATGAGTTCATGGCACAGTGAAGGGAGAGAAACTGGAAAGAATGAATTAGAAATAAGTTTTGTTAGTGGGAGGAGCAGAAAAATGGAGCCATGAAAGAAGGGTGAGGACTTCAGCTCCTGGCTAAAAACCTATGTTTGGTTTTTTTTAAAAGATTTTATTTATTTATTTGAGAGAGAGAATGAGAGATAGAAAGCACGAGAGGGAAGAGGGTCAGAGGGAGAAGCAGACTCCCTGCTGAGCAGGAAGCCCGATGCGGGACTTGATCCCGGGACTCCAGGATCATGACCTGAGCCGAAGGCAGTCGCTTAACCAACTGAGCCACCCAGGCGCCCAAACCCTATGTGTTGTTAAAAAGAAAACCACAGGCCCCTAAATGGAGTCACTTATGTGAAGGGCCCCAAGTCAGCAAATCAAGATTTAGGGAAATACTAACCTAACTGCTCTTTCAACCCCTGCCTCCAGGAATGTAACCTTTAACCAGTCAACCTGGAAATTCCTGGTCAACACTAGGAAATTTACTGATAGACTAATTAGGAGGGTGACCTTGCCTAAAACAATGCATTCTTTGCTAATAATTTCCTTTTTTTCCATCCCCCCTCTGCCTTCAAAACCTTGCCGTTCCTGCAGCTCAACAGAACTCCCCTCTCTCCACTTGCTAGAATCGATTAATAAAACTAATTAGATTTTTTTAAGATTTTATTTATTTATTTGTCAGAGAGAGAGAGATCACAAGTAGGCAGACAGGCAGGCAGAAGGAGAAGGAGAAGCAGGTTTCCTACTGAGCATGGAGCCCCATGCGGGGCTCGATCCCAGGACCCTGGGATCATGGCCTGAGCCAAAGACAGACACTTAACCCACCGAGCCACCCAGGCGCCCCAAAACTAATTAGATCTTTGAAATTTACTTGGTTGCATTTTTGTTCTTTATTGATGTGATCTTTCAAACTTGACCATATGCAATTACAAAGGCCTTCCCTGGCAGGCCTTGCAGGGGAAAGCTGCCCTCCCCACACCAGACTTGGTGCACAGCCAGTGCACTGTGGTCTCTGAAGGGAGGTGAGGACTCAGGCTCCTCTGGTCAGCCTTGCTCTTACACATGTTTGCAGTCTCATCCAGGCACCTCTGGTCAGCCTTGCTCTTACACATGTTTGCAGTCTGATCCAGGCACCTCCAACAGAAGCCTCTTTCTCCGGGGCCTTCTGAAGCCTTGCTCAGGTGCCTCATCTTACGGAGAACAGAGCAGAAACCGTGAAGACACCCTCTTCTCTCTGACTCAGTGCTCAGTTCTTTTGCACTCTCAGCCCTTCTCCCTTTCCCTTTCCCTAGCCCCCAGGTCCAGAAGATTCCAGAAGCCTTTTGGTCTGGGCTCTTTCAGCAATGAGACAGTGAGAGGGATTAGCTACTCCTAACCAACTGACCCTTGACTGACCCTTGACTGCCGTGAAGTTCGTGAAGGAAACTAGACCAGGGTCAAGAATGACAGTGTTTCCCCCAGCTTTGCCTCCTGCTTACACTATTGCTTTAAGTGATTAAAGTCTTGACTCTCACTTTCATCTCGGCTTGTTTTAATCACTACTCCAATACCTGGAAGCTCAGCTCCCTCAAGCTCCTCTGAGCCCAGCCTATGACAGAGGGTTATTTCCTTAACTGGTTATTTCTTTAACTGCTGGAAGGCCTAACCAGCATAACTGTATGCTGATGAGGATGAGACAACAGAGAGAGGAGGAGATGAAATAGATAGGATTGCTGGAGTGATAAGGCATGGTAGGTCTGCCCAGATCCTCTTACTTTAGGGCTGACACACTCACCCACACTGCTGGCAATATAGGCTCAGAGCTATGTCCTTCATTGGGAAATGCCCTCAGCCACAGGGTACGACCTTGCCCAAGGCTACTTCCCTTCCTAAGACTAGCTTATGCAGGGACACAAGGGTATATTCTTCATCCCAGAGTACTCTGTAGGGTTGGCTTAGTTGCAACTGCATTATAGGTCAGCTTCTCTCTCAGCTCTGTTGTGTCTACCTCAGTTCCCTACACATGTCTCTCAAGAGCATTTCCCAACAAACCTCCAGCATATAATGCTCCATCTTTGTTTCCAGGGAATAATCTAAAGTTTGGAGTGCTCTTAGGAGTTAGACTCTAAAATGGGATTTTTGAGCTGGATCCCTTGCTATTAGGCTAGCAAGAAGGACCCCATCTCTAGTGGCAGTGGAGTGTGGACAGGTCTTGGAATGCTGTAGCAGTCCAATGCCAAAACTTTCACCAGCAGTGAACTGAGTTCGGTTATGACTAGAATAGGATGCACTGGCTGGAATACCTCTGATGCTCAAGAGTTAAGAGGGAAATGATAACTATAAATACTATGAATTGGGTAGCTGTTGCTAAGCAGATGGGTCATTGAAAAGAAATAATTACAGGTGTTCAGGACAATTGATTCATCACCAATTCAGGACAAAACATGAGAGCCAGAGGAGAGGGTCTCTTAGCAATGTTTAAGGAAATCCTAATCTCCTGTACCTGGAGAGCTGACAAAAAGGAGGGTGGGTCTCAGAGCTAAATCTTAACGGTAGCAGAGCTCATCTCCACCAGGTCTCTGTACAGGGTCAGGGTCTAATAGAAAAGGAGTAGAGCCCCTAGGACTTGGGATGGGAGTATCTGGTTAGATGTCATTAAGAACCCACTGGGCCTGTAGAAGTGATCCATCTCCCCTTGTTAAAAAACAGTACCCTCCCTTTGCTTTAAGATCTTGCAGAGGCCTCAAATGGGGCAAGTGCTTTGCAAGACCATGTTGTCAATGCCCAGGATCTCCCCCACCTCCTCTCCTGGCAGCCAGACCAGCAACAGGCGTCAAGTCCCAGCACAGCCCATCTGAGGATGTCCTGGGCCTGCTGGGGGAGGAGAGGGACTACACACCAAAGGAGTTGCAGAATCCAACTAATACAGGCCTGCAGGAGCTAAGAGAATATACATTAATGGAATCCCCAGGGTGCTGGATCAAGAGCAGCTGAACATCAAATTGGTAAGTAAGTTATCCACTCCTGTGATGCAGGATTTAACACACTGGCAGGTGTTGAGACACTGAGGCTCTTGGAAACTTGAAAAAAGTGCTGGGCCACACTAACTGAAGACATGTTGCACAAAGCTAAAACACCTACAAGCAATGTTCTACATGAGGGCCCAGAAGACCCTCTGTTTAGTAAAGCAGTGAGGAAAGGACTGGTGACAGGGAGCCAAGAACTGTGGGGAGCTCAGTGGTGACTGTCTTCTGGAGGCCAGTGCTGATGAAAGGAGATACCCTTCACAACTGGGCTCCCTGACAAAGCAATGAGGATTGCAGCTGTCCAAAAGGATAGAGGCAGGTGGCAGCACTTCACCATTAAAATCAAGGTGAGTGAAGACAGGCTGAAGTGGCAGCTAGGGCAGTCCCCACACAGAGAAACAGGAAGAGAGCTAAAAGAACATGATGTTCTACTTAATTTTTAAAAAAGCAAAGATTATCAGGAGGCTAAAAGTAGCCACCCCAATAAAAGTCATGATCCCTTGTGCAGTTTCTGGACCTGCACCTGTTCTTAGATCCAGAAGTTACTGACCAAAGGAGAAGCCAGTGTGTGCAAAAGCATGGCAGGTGTATTCAATAGTGATTTCCCGGTACTTCCACAAAGAACTATGGCTGCTTACACAGGTAACCATGCATTGGTGAAAGGGGAATACTTAGACTTTTTGAGGATTATTGGACAGTCTGAATTGGTATTGATACCTGGGGATCCAAAACACCACCATACCTTCTCTGCTAAACTTGGAGTGGATGGGATCCAGAGTGAGTGAGTCCAGGTCAACACTGAGTTGACCTACCCATTGGTCATTTCTGCAATCCCAAATTAACAATAAAACCGAGCAGACTTTTTAGTTGTCAGAACTCTCAACTATAAGATAAGGAGGTAGCATATTCCACACTTGGGAATATTGCTCTATCCCATTTAGCAGATGACATGGAAGGCTCCCAGATGGAGCCCAGAGCAAGAAAGGGCCCTGCAGGGAGAGCCGACTAGGGTGGGAACAGTCATGCTGCTGGGCCCTCTGACTCAGCAGACCATAGCTACTAGAGGTATCTGTGCAGGGAAAAGATGCTGTGGGAGTTTATGGCAAGCCTGGTGGGAGAATCGCAAGGTTCTCAGGTTCTGAAGCAAGGCTGTCTACCACTTCAAATAAGGAAGCTCCTATCAGGCAATTGGTCCTGCGAGAGTTGGTCCATCTAACCACAGGACATCAGGTAACCCTGAGCCAGAGCTGCTCCCTGTGACGGGTGCCTGTCAAACGCACTGGGTCATACGGTTGGGGTGCGGGGACGCAGTGGTCGACACTCATGCAGGCTTGGACCCAGGCCCGGCCAGAGAGTGCCCGCAAGCTGCCTGGGCTGCTGAGAATGAGGAGCGGTGGCTCTGGAGACTCGAGGAGAGAGGAGGAAGGCGAAATGCACATTTAGGGGAGTGCTGGACAGCATGGGCTAGAGAAACAGCGGACTTTCAGGCGACACTACTTGAAATGTATGCTGATTGGTGACAATGTCACAATTTTAGGTCAGCATGGGTTTGCATTTTTCTCCATCCACCTTCAGTTGCCTGGACGCAGGTGGGGTATTTTTTTTTCACCAGGGCTGGGATTGTGCCTCTACATGCAGCAGAAGGAGAGAGGGGCATGTGAGGTGAGGGTGTAAGCCAGGAAGTAATTCTAAGGATGGACTGTGGAACCTAGCACGCACAGAGGGAAACAACACGCAGGCACTGAGGTAAGTGGATTGGAAGTCCTCTTGAGGTTGAAGGACCACTGGCATGAGGTTCAAGAGAGTGAGCTGGAAAGATAGATAGAGGTGTGTGAGTGGGAAGCTCAAACTCCTGAGCCTGTCAGAAGGCAGGGGTCTGGCCAGAGGCAGAAGCTCTGTGAACACTGACAGCTTGCACGGACAGAAGAGCATCCAGCAGGTCAACGGATAGGAATCTCACTTTTTCAAGGGACACAGAAGTTCTGACACCAATCCGCAGTTACCACAGGGTTGAGGAAGCCTTGTGGCCTGAAACCTTTAACCCAGCCCTGGAACACTGCCTGTAGATTTCCTCAACACTGACTTGGGACCCTGGGGTGTAGGCCATTTGTCTTCATCTTTCTACTGCACGACAGACCCCTGTTGCTAGACCATGCACCTACCTCAGAGAATTTGTTTGAAAATTAAGTGAGCTAATATGTATTAAGTGCTCAAAATAATGACTGACATATAACTAACTCTCAGTCGGTATTAGCCATCATTACCTAGAGAACAAATTAAACAATTGTACACACACACACACACACACACACACACACACTAGACAGATCTATAGAGATAGAAAGTAGATTAGTATTTGCCAAGGGTTGGGGGTTGGAGAGAGCAATGGAGAATGAGTGCTAATTGGTACAACATTTTTATATGTTTTGGGGGGTGGAGTACGAAAATTGATGTAAAATTAGATTGTGGTTGGTGGTTGCACAAATTAGTAAATATACTTAAAAAAACCCATTGAATTGTATACTTTAAAAGGGTGAATTTTATGATATGTGAATTATATCTCAAAAAGCTGTTTCTTTAAAGAAGCAATAATGAAAGTTATCCCAAATATAGCTCCACTGAGAGAATTGATATTGAGAACCATGCTTATTTTCATTACTCTTCTAGGGAATTATTCTTTATTAGCTTTGTAATAGCCTGTGGGTCATTTTCACTATGCCAATAACAGTACCACACATATGAGAATCCTGAAAGGTAAAAAGTCACAGTATAAATGATTGTACATGCCAAATGGTTAGGACGTGTTTATTTAAATACATTTTAGTTGGTGTAATTGCATTACTGGGAGAGAGCATTTTCTTCAGTGTCTCATTCTGTGTTGGCTTTATTACTAGCCTGTTATCTACTCACATCCATGCACTTCTAGGGGGATAGAAATAATACTAATTTTATTCACTTGGCAATACCAGGAGAAAAGATAAACTGATACAGAGAAAAAATAAGCACTAACACTTTTCTTAGAAATATTTGCTTATTTTATGCCTTTGGCCTGGTTCGGTATGCTTGACTGTAGGTACCTCAAGGCACCCATCATTCATTCATTAAACAACTATTTATTGAACTCCCTCTATAATGAGAAACAGAATATTGTTCTAATATGAGTGGAGAACCACCTTATGAAAAAATACATTTAACTTTTATAGTTTCTTGACTAAAATACTGATTCGTGTGTAGATATGCAATGCAGGAGACCAGATCTACAAGTAATGACAGAAGAAGCATAAGGGAGTTGTACAGGGGCTGGTGGTCATACAAGTCACCCATGCAGTGACCTCTCAGCATCCCACACAGGACTGGCCTTATCCCTGTGGTTGTCAAATTTCAGGGCACATCCTGATCACCTGTAGGGCTTGGTAAAACTACAGATTGCTGTCTTTCCCTAGAAATTGATTCAAGAAATCTGATGTGGGGCCTAAAAACATTCATTTCCAGAAAGTTCCCATGAGATATTGACACTGCTCTTAGAAAAGCTACCCTAGTCAGAACCATGAGAGAGGAAACATCTTTAGTACCACCTTATCTTCTTTAAGCTTCCTTCTCACTTTTTGGTATGTATGAGACCTTATTACTAAGAAGTGTCCCCTACCTTGGACCAAAGCTGGCATTGTGATAATTTCCCTTTTTTTCCCCCTTCCATTAAACCCAGCTTCTTGGGACCCACTTATTTAAGGCCCTGTTTTTGGTGGGGAACAGCCAGCCAACCTAATAAGAGAATCAAAGGAATGCTTAGCTATTGCCAAGGCATTCATGTGTGACCTTATGCTATAAAACTGTTTCCTCTTGATATTCAGCTTGAATTTTCTCAGCCTTCCTTCAGGCCAAATCTATTGCTCTGTGTATGACAACTTTGGCAGTAATGTCTATCCTGATACTCCATTTTAATAGTTTGTTATCAGAGAAGGTATAGCTGCATTAATAATTTATTAAATTATTAAAGCAAGAGAAATCTATCAGTCTCATATTCTCAGCATAGAAATTGTGCAGTATCTTTTAAATGTGTGGCACATAAATCCTCCCAAGATGCTTTACGAATGGGCTCATAGGTAGGCCTATAGCAGAAATCTGAGGATTTGGGCCAGTGCTTTAAAATTCTTTGTTGAGGGGCACCTGGGTGGCTCAGTTATTAGGCGTCTGCCTTCAGCTCAGGTCATGATCTCAGGGTCCTGGGATTGAGCCCTGCATCAGGCTTTCTGCTCAGCAGGAGTCTGCTTCTCCCTCTCCCTCTCCCTCTGTGCTCTCTCTCTTTCTTTCTCTCTCTCTCTCAAATAAATAAATAAAATCTTTTTAATTTGTTGATACCTATGCAGGTGGCCCTTGGAGGAATGCCTTAAGCCAGAACCCATGCAGTAGAATGAAGGACAAATACTGGAAACCACAGGGCTAACCTATGAATCATGAATAGATACTGGATTTCAGAAGCAAAAGTTCTAGGTTGTAATGGAAAGGATGTCAGAGGGAGTTGTGAGGAACTAGGGACTAAAGAACGACCTTCAAAACCAGTTCATGGTGCCTTCATGGCTTCACAGGGACATGATTCTTGGGTGGGTTTCCCTAGCATAAAGGTCTTTGTGGGGCGGGCAGCTATGGAGTCTATATATGTATGTGACTATAAATTAATAAGTTGTTGTATTTACAGATCTAAAATTAGACTTTTTAAAAGGAAGGGAAAAATTAATGTGGAATAAAGAAGATTTGAACACACTATCAACTACTTTGACCAAACAGACATATAAAACAGTGTACCCAACAACTACAAGGATATATATTCTTTTTAAGTACAATGGAGCATTCACAAAAGTAGACACATAATGAGCCACAGATTAAGTCTTCTTAAGTTTCAAAAGAGTGAAATATTATAGCATATATTCTGTAACAACAAAATCAAATTAGAATTCATTAAAATTAAGATATAAAGAAAAGCCCCAAATATTTGAAAAGGAAACGACACACTTTTAAATAACTCACAAGTAAAAGAATAAATCACAAAGAAGTTAGAAAATATTTCTAATTGAATGATAATGAAAATACAACATATTCAATGTTATGGGATGTAGCCAAAACAGTACTTCCCTAGAGGGAAACCAATACTTCAAAATACTTAAATACAGTGCAATAAGAAAAGAAAAAAAAATGTTTAAAAATTAGTGATCTAAGGTTGCAACATAAGAGCCTTCTTAGGAAAAGAAGAGCAAATTAGGGGCACCTGAGTGGCTCAGTCGGTTAAGTGACTGACTTCGGCTCAGGTCATAAGCCCAGGGTCCTGGGATCGAGCCCCACATCAGGCTCCCTGCTCAGCAGACGAGTCTGCTTCTCCCTCTCCCCCTGCTCATGCTTTCTCTCTTACTCACTCTCTCTCTTTCAGATAAATAAATAAAATCTTACAAAAAAAAAAAAGAAAAGAAGAGCAAATTAAACCCCAGGTAAATAAAAGGAAGGAAATAAAAATCAGAAATCAATGAAATGGAAAACAACCAAATACGGAAAAATAACAAGTCTAAAAGTCGATTCCTTGAGAAGTTTGAACAAGCTGATAAACCTCTAGTGAGACTGATCATGAATAATAGGGAAAAATATAAATTCAACAATTTAGATGAAGCAGCCCAATTATTTGAAAAACACAATTTACCAAAAAGAAGACAACCTGAGCATTTGTATATCTACTAAGTAAATGGAATTTGGTAATCAATAATTTTCCCCTAAAGAAAATTCTAGGCCAACAGTCTTGGTGAATTCTATTAAATAGTTAAGGAAAAAATAATGACAATTATACACAAATTCTGTCAGAACAGAGATAAGTCCCCAGAAAAACTTGTAAGATGTGACAAGAAAAGAAAATTATAGACCATACCGAGATAGAGGCAATAACCCTTATAAATAATTATTAATTGAGGTGAAATGGATAACATATCATGACTAAGTAGGGTTTATCACAGGAATGCAAGATTGGCTTAACATTTGAAAATCAGTGTAATTCTCCATATTAACAGGATAGAGGAGAAGAACTACAATTGTCTCAGCAGACTCAACCCAATGCAAACCAAAATCCCAGTAGGCTTTTTGTAATTAAAATTTGATTCTAAAATTTCTGTGGAAAAGCAAAAGCTCTAAAGTAGCCAAAAATCTTGAAAAAAGAACAAAGTTGAAGGTTTATGCTATCTTGTTGCAAGATTTACTATGAAGCTACAATAATCAAGATAGTGTAGTTAAGCAAAATAACAGAAAAATAAATCAATGAAAGAGAATACAGTCCAGAAATAGATCCACACATATATGGTCAATTGACTTGATAAAGGCTCTGTGATGTTTATGTGCTGGCTTGGGTAGGTTATGGTGCCCAGTTGTTTGGTCAGATGCTAGTCTATAATGTTGCTGTGAAGTTATTTTGTAGATATGATTAATGTTTACAACCAGTTGACTTTAAGTAAAACAGATTTCTCTTAAGGATGTTGGTGGGCCTTATCTAATCAGTTGAAGACTTTAAGAGCAAAAATTGAAGATTGTAGGAAAAGAACAAACTCTGCTTCAACACTGGATATAGAAATCCTGCTTGAGGGCACCTGGGTAGCTCAGGCGGTTGTCTACCTTTGGCTTAGGTCATGATCCCAAGGTCCTGGGATTGAGTCCCTCTTTGGGCTCCCTGCTCAGCAGGGAGTCTGCTTCTCCCTCTCCCTCTGCCCCTCCCCCTT